AGAGTGAGTTAGTTTATTACTATTAGTTTACTTTCTGTATGGCTTAGACTGTTTAGTTGATGGTAAACACTTGAGGATTCATAAACAGATTCATGTATATAAGGCCCCTTGACTTATGACAAAGGTACCACTTCTATGTAGTGGGGAAAAATGGTCTTTAAATATAATAAATGGTGATTGAGCAATTGGATATAAATATGAAAAAAATCAATCCCCTCTTACATCATACACATAAAACGATTTCATGGAATTATATACCAGAGTGTTGAAAATCAAACAATAAAGATTCCAAAGACAACTTAAATGTCTATCTTCATGACTGCTGTGTGGGCAAAGATTTCCTAAACAGGACAAAAAATGCACTAATCATAAAGACTAGCTCTTCATCAAGATACCCCACAAGAAAGTAAAGGGAAGACACCGATCAGAATAAGATATTTCCAATGCAGACATCCAACAAAGAACATGTATGTATGTACGTATCCTCCAAAAAATATGTAAAAAAAGCCATACAACCAAAGTTAAATATGACCAAAAGGCTCACATCCTTCACAAAGATGATATCCAAAACAGCTAACAAACATGTGATAGCAGTCTCCAACCACAGAATGAAAATAGGAACTGAAAAAGAAATTGACTATGCCAAGCATTGGCAAGGATTGTGGACCAACTAGATTTTCATGCAGTACCTGTATCTGGCCCATGGCTCTTCAGGTCTCACTACTTCAGTGCATTCCAGCAGGTGGCCGATGTATGTGTCTTCCTAAGGACTTTCTCTGGGTTTAAGAATAGTTCTGGCTGTAAGAGCAGTAGCCCAGAGGTAGCAGACAATAAACCATCCCTACCCAGGGGTAATCCTAACCAAAGGCCAAGTGGAGTGGTGTATAAATACCCCAACTCTCTTGCTCTCTGATGTGTATTTCATATCATTTCCAGAGATCATCAGTAGGCTGAGCTCTAGTACTCACAGTGGTAAGTTCCTTAATAATGTATTCTTCGTTGACTCCCATACCTTCCCCATATTACTTCCCCACTTCTTATCAAGATTTCTTGGGGCCATCTCCAATATAAGTCACAGGGATAAATATGGGGAAACCCAATAATAATGCTTAATTAAAAAGAGAAGGATATGGGTTATAGCTCTGAATTTGCAGGAGGTATAATAAGGTTACTTAGGATAGATTGCTGTAGTGATACAGTACTGGTATATTGGGATATACCTCACCACTATTTTCAATGTAAAAAGTGCAATCATTATGTTTACCAGATTGTGAAGGGTTAGGATAAGAATTGGGAGGTGAAGGCACTTTATTTTCTATTCAATGGAAAACCAGGTGAAGTTGTAAAACACAAGAATGCAATGTTTGGATTCTTTAGAAACTCCCTCTGACTTCAGGATGGAAGAAGGGTCAGAGGGGAAAGGACAGGAAGCGGGGTACCCTTTAGGTAGCTATTTTAATTATCCAGGGGTAAGATGTGAAGGGCTGTAACTAGGGCAGGGGCTGTGGAACTGGCAAAGAAAGGATGGATTTTCCAGATATTGACCAGGGGAGGGTATTGGCAAGTCCTAGTGACCAATTAGATGTAGGGGTTGAAGAAGAGAGAGACAATTTCCTATTTTGGATGTTGATGGATGATTTAACTACTTTTACTGAGGTCACTTCAACAATTCCTTGTTCTTGTAACAGGGGTCCCCCTGGTGGTAAAAGAAAACCAAGAATGGGATTTCTTAACCTGGGTACATGCTATTTTTGGACAAAATTGTGCAACTGAACCTAGTTGCAAGATCACAGCATAGGGATCCCCTTCTTTGTATGTGTGTGGTAGCAAAGACCCACATCTAGAAAAAGCTGTAAGCTAAGGGGCATGGGTAAAGGTGATCAAAACGTGCAAACTCCCAGTTATAAATGAATAAGTTCTGATGACATAATGTACAGCATGGGACTATGGTTAACAATACTGTACTGTATACCTGAAAGTTGCTAAGACAGTAGATCTTTAAAGTTCTCATCACAAGAAGAACAAATTTGTAACTATGTGCGGTGGTTGATGTGTTAACTAAACTTATGGGGATGATCATTTTGCAGTATATACATATATCAAATCATGATGTTACATGATTTAAGGTATACACCTTGAATGCATACCATGTTTTAGGTCAATTATATCTCAATAAAGCTTGAAAAAAATCTTCCCGAATAAACAAGAACAACTGAGAGCTGATGGTTGCTGATGGGTCAGAAAGTGGGGCCTGACAATGACCTTCACCCACTCAAGGCAGGTAGCTCCTGGCCACCTTCCCTCTCCAAGAATCTCCATGTGGTCCAGAATGGGGTTGGCTGCTATGTGTGGTGCAGAATCCATCAGGCATGGGAGCTCTCCCATCAGTGATCTGATTTCTTAAAAGAGTACAGCAGAGGAAAGAGGAGAGACGCTAAAGCCAGACACACCTGCACCTGAATGCTGGCTCTGCCACAAATCTGCTAGTATCCTTGAGTTACACCTGACAGTGCCTAGAATGGTTGTGAGGTTTGAGGGAACGTGTGTAAAGCACTAGCCCAATGCCTCCTTAACAGTTGGAGGTAATGATTCCCTTAAACAGCGGTTCTCAACCTGTGGGTTGCGACCCCTTTGGAGGTCGAACGATCCTTACACAGGGGTTGCCGAAGACCATCCTGCATATCAGATATTTACATTACAATTCATAACAGTAGCCACATTACAGTTATGAAGTAGCAACGAAAATAATTTTATGGTTGGGTCACAACATGAGGAACTGTATTTAAAGGGCCAGAAGGTTGAGAACCACTGCTTTAGGCAACTAGTAGGGTCTTTGGGATCCTATTAATTCATGAATATGCTAATAAAAAAGGGGCAGCTCCAAAGCTGACTCATAATATTACGAATCCACCTGAAAGTGCCAGGGCCAAGTAATGAATCTAAACACACAGGGTAGAGCCCCAGAGACTTCTCTCTTCATGGTTTCTCTCTGAATGCCTGGGGAAGAGCCCTTGAAATAGACAAGAGGAATTTTCTAAAAAAGGTACATTCGAATAGGCCTGAGTCATTGACTAAGATGAGATATTTCAGAAGCTTTCCATTTCGAGCCTCTGGCATGTTTCTGATTATGTATAAATACCTTGCTTGTTATATAAATACACAGCGAGTGTAACCTTTTGCTAAGCAATGCAAAGCAAACAGCTACAAGAAGATCTGAGAGAAGAGCCACAGCGCAACTGCTTCTGATGGTTTCCTCTCACTGGTCCCCGAGGATCCCGGAAAGGTTTAAAGTGATAAAGCTGTAAGTTACCTCTTGAAATCACCGCAGCCATTTTTCTCTCCCCGGGAGCTCCGCGTGCACATGTATTAGCTGGTCTTATCCATCTGTAAGCCCCTGTAAGCTCGCTAATGAAAACAACCACCTCTTCTGGGCTTAACTGTGCGTTATTGAGTGTTCTGTCTCTCATGCTATAAATGCACAGTAATGAGAAGTGGGCTGTTTATTAGGGACCACCAGCATGCTAGGCAAATGGTGAATCAGATATTTCACTGATGTGCCCAGGAGGTACCATCTTAAAGGTCAGTCCATAGCCATAAAAACAACCAACCCAAAACAAAAAACTTCCTTTTTGCACCGCACACAGACTGGATATTTTGAATAGCAGAAGAGTTTGACAAGATTAATCATGCATGATGTCTTTCATAAGGGAAACTGTGAGATTCTCCTATTGTAGTAATTCCCCGTATTATATCTGGTGCCATATTCTCATTAGTGCTTTTGATTTTAAATTGTTTTGTAGAAGGGTATAACAACTGGCATTTCATATTGTTCTGGACACATAGCCATAATCTGCCAGATATTATGGAGGGTATAATGTTGTGAGTGTCAGTACCAGAGAGCTTATTTCGTGAGTGAATAGGTACCAAAACCAATGGGCCCCCCACATCGATTCTCTTCAGGTTTTCCCCTTTTACTTTCTGTAATTCCAGGGGATACAGATGTTACCTCAGCCACAGGATGGCCAAAGCTCATGATTAAAGGGGCTGGCCTGACATGCTTCTTATAGTCAGGGAAAGGTTGAATTAGGCCAGAGTGTAAAAGGCAAACAGAGGGCAGCTCCTATCTGGCTGTGAGGGCCTCCAGCAGTTGTACAAACTGGAGGAGCAGAATAGTGCTTATGAGGTATGTGCTAAGTGGAACCTGAGTCCTGCCTTAAAAACCATAGAATTTTAAAGAATTATATAATATTTATAATGAAAGTATTTTAAAATAAAAATTTAATTGTTCTTTATTTTAAATTCAATAACATGTGATTTTTATATTTGTTTTGAACTTTTTCCTATCATTAAATGTTAACTTGATTATTCTTTAAACTTTTAAATTCCACAAATAAGTTCTCCTTGCTCTACTTGGGCAGGATTTTGGCCGAATTACAAATGGATCACTTTCTGTATAAGGGGTGCCACAATTACATCTACACGAATCTATACTTATTTGTGTAATTGTACTTGTCATAACCCAGATTGCTCCCAACCAAAGGAGCCTGAGATATATTATAAATGAATAGATGCATTCATCTCTGTGTGTGCATGTGTGTGTGTGTGTGGGTGTGTGTGTGTGTGTGTGTGTGTGTATGTGTGAGAATTAGGGCTCTTAAAAAGAATACCTATGTTCATGTCTTTATTGGGTTTGTGGCCCCTCCTTTTGAGAATTGTCTGAGATATGACTCATCCCTCCCCTGTGGTGCTAGTGTTCAGTTCAAAGCCATTTTTCAGTCATAACTGGTTGTGTAGGCATCATAAACAAAGCCAAAAGCAGGCCGCTCCCAAAACACTCTATCTTTCCCCTCATCTTTGCTGGTGGTCTCCAAGCACGTGGGCCAAATACGTGTACACATGTCCGGGTAGCAGTTTCCATCCGTGTGTTTTAAAAGAAAACACTGAGTGAGAAGACCTTTAGCCCGGCAGTTTGGGAATGCCTGCTGTGAGCTGACTCTTACCTTCCGGTAGCCCCAGAGCTGGTTCCCCTTCATGCCGTGACAGTCATAGAGAGTGACCGGGCTGCTGTGCGAGATCGCGTCGAAGCAGAACTTTCGGGTGTGCAGCGGCTCACCAGGTCGAATGTCTTCTCTCCATCCAAAAGTAAAGAGCTAACGAAGTGACAACAGCAGAAAAGATGCAGTGAGTTTCATTTGAAGACGCTCGAGAGCAGGGGGAGCACTTTAGATCTGCTTTGGGACGTACAAGAAAGAACTAAGTCGCGGCATCAGAGAGATGTTGAAAAAGGCATCCTATATAATAAAAGCCTAGGTGGTGTCATGCCCTTGTGCCACGCCATCGGGCAATGTCGTCACAAGATGGCCACCACAAGATAGCTGCACGCACAGCAGAGGCAGGGCCCAGTGGCCGCTCCACGCCATGATGCCTGGGGGTCCCACAGCTCTGCGCTGTACGGAGGGGGCTGGTCCTGGTGTCTCCGCTGCCTTGCATGGAGAAGGTGGGTCCTGGTGGAGGAGGTGGGTCATGGCAGGGGAGGGCAGTTGGGGGCAATCAGGCCGGCAGGAGAGCTGTTAGGTGATCAGGCTGGCAGGCAGAAGTGGTTAGGGGCAATCAGGCAGGCAGGCAGGCGAGCGGTTAGGAGCCAGCGGTCCTGGATTGTGAGAGGGATGTCCGACTGCTGGTTGAATATCCCCTAAGGGGTCTCAGATTGGAGAGGGTGCAGGCTGGGTTGAGGGACACCCCCTACCCCTGTGCACAAATTTCATGCACCAGCCTCTCGTGTAATATAAAGTGTGTGGCAGTAACAGTTGCACCTTTGGCTGAGGGCACCAAAAATGCAAATGAGGAGTGTCCAGTTTGGTACTAGAAAAATAACAGAGGATGGTGTGCAGATGGGAGGAGAGGAAAAACTCCTTAATGAAGCGCTTCATATTCTTCAGTTTGATAAAATGCCACAGTCAGCCTAAATGAGCAGACTCACTGGAAAAAAACATCACAGGAGCAGAACTGAGCTGGATTGATGTTAGTAATTTTTTTAAAAAGTTGGTTTAAATGAAAGCTAAGCTTGATGAAGTAAAGAATAGGCAAATTAATGTCCTGGGGGTGGTGAGTAATTACGCAGGGCCATGTTTTGAAGTAAGAAGTACAGTTCAAACACACTCACACTCACACCCACTCACACACACGCTCATACACTCACACATTCACACACATGCGTAGACTTATACATGCACACATACTCACATACACACACATGCTTACATGCACACACACGCACGCATGCACACTCACATGCACACATGCATACACTCACACACACACTCACATTCACACACACTAACATGTGCACACACAGACACACATACATGCACACACACATTCTTGCTCATACACACTCTCACATGCACACACACTCATATACACATGCACACTCACACACACACACATACACTCACATGCACTCGTGCGCGTGCCCACACACACACACACACACACTCACGCATGCACTTCCCCTCCACTAAAACAAGTTTCATGAAACAATATTTATCTTTACTGGATTTTAATAGACTCTGATATTCCATCCAACCTCATCCTATCCTAGTCTATTCTATCCTATCCATGCCATTCCATTATTTTAAAAATGCTTCTAATGATGCACTAAATTAACTGTATAATGTATTAAAATTTTTTAAGACCCACCACATTCCTGTGGGGAAAGAATATTTTCTTGAGTTTGACTTGGAGAAAAAACAAGAGTAGGAGAGGTGTAGTAGGAAAAATCCTTAAGTGGGAAAATAGACTAGATGAGTCCTATTTCTTCCCAATCTAAAATTTTAGTAAGTATATATACTTCTTATGATATGACTTAAAGTAGATCTGGCTGTGTAAAGCCAAACTATGCGAAAGAAAGAGGTACCAAGAACCCCCTGTTGATATAAAGCAAGCATGATGCTCAACTCTCTCTATATAAAAGGCTAAGTGTCCATCTGTCCGACCGGTAGCTCTGACATGCACTGACCACCAGGGGGCAGATGCTCAACACAGGAGTTGCCATGATGCACATTGGCTATTTAAAAAAAAACAGCACCACGGCAAACCAACACTCAGTTTTCCCCAAGTGGGACACAGGCCCCACCACCGGAGTGACACCCCACCAAATCGCAGCCAATGCTGCCATGACCCCATGGCGCAAAATGCAGCCCACAGCCCAGCCAAGCCCAGAGCTCCAGGGAATCACACCACGTAGCAACACCCAGTTTCCTCTCCCTAGCGACTAGCCTCCTTGGAGGTCTTCAGCCCAGAACCCAACTTGCTTTATAGCCAGGTGCAAACATTTTACAATTTAACCAAATGTTTGCGAAGCATTTTCTCATGCCTCATCTCATTTGATTCTCACAGAAGTCCTGAAGTAGGTAGATAGGAGATTCGATAGAATCCTATTTTCTTTTCATTAGCTGAAAAATGGAGATTTAGAAAGTTTAGAAACTTGACCCGACTGAAAAGAAGTAAGAAATGGTGGAGCTTAAAAATGACTTCAAGTTTTCTCACTGCACAGAATAGAGTCAAATACTGCTACAGTTAAATATTTTACCCTTTGTTCTCCCTGCATGATCTATAATAATAATCTGCTTCATGTTGATATTTACTGCTGTGTTGCTAACAATTACCTGAAAGAGAAGTTGGGGTGCTTCACTAGGCTGGAAAAAGTTTAGCTAAATCAGAAAGCAGTTCTAATTAAGCAAGTTTATTCTTTATATATAAAAGGCTAAGTTGACTCACGCATGCATGATGCATATAAAGCTCTCATTAGCGCCAATTGCACATGTGTGTTTTGATCTGTCATTGTCACTTGTGAATTTGGTTGATGCTTCTATTATAGAGAAAGGGCAAATAGCAATATTAAAATACTTCTTCTAATTAATTTTCTTTCAGTGTGCATGAATCCGTGCACCAGGACACTAGTATATAGATGATACACTTAGTGCCTCTACTGACCAGGCTCTTAGTATATTTCAGTTTTAAAGTGCTATCCAGGAAAGAAAATATAGAGAATCTGGAAAAATTCTGGGGATGGCTAACAAAAACATTTAAATGGTGGAGAAACTGCAGAAACTTGAAAGAACTTGGGGGAGTGATCTGAAGAAAATCAGAAATGATCTAAATCAAACATATGGAAGTTGATTGAGTAATGGCAAGTGACTATATTTTGTTTCCCCACAAGACAGGACCTGAACGGGTATATTCTGAATAGAAGGACAAGAGATTTTAGGCGAGTCATTTAAAATTGATCAATAAAGAAGAATTGTGCAATCTCTTTCCCTTGAGTTTTTTTCTTGTTTGTTTGTTTAAATATGATTGTGGACTGAGGCACTTTTAGATTCATTTAACTTCTGTGCAGAAGAATGACTTCTCAAAAAAAAATGTCTATTCAGTAATTCTGATTTTTTAAAAAATGCTCACCCAACAATATTTTTCTATTGCTTTTTCTTTTCTTTTTTTGTTTTTGTTTTTTGTGGTTGGGGGTGGGGAGGAGGGAAAGTGGAAGGGATGGAGGAAGAGAGAGAGAGAGAAACATCAATGTGAGACAGACACATCGATCGGTTGCCTCCCGCACAAGCCCCAACCAGGGCCTGGGATCAAATCTGTAACCCAGGTATGTGCCTTTGACTGGGAATTGAACCCAGTACCCTTTGGTGTGAGGGCCAGTGCTCCAGCTACACTGCCCAGGACAGCATTTCTGATTTTGATCACTCCCTTCAAGCCAGGATTCACAACTCCCTTGGCTTTGAAATTCTAGGCTTTGTTATCCTATAACTCCATCTTGCCCATGTCCTCTTTTATCCGTCTCTTCAACAGAGGTGTTGCTCTGGGTTCTCCTTTAGACCCTCTGTCTTTGCACCTTTCTTGTTGGTCTTAAATATACTCAACTCAACTCTTGACAATATGCTGATAACTAATCTGTGTTAGTCCAACTCCACGTAGGATTTTCCTACATGGACATCTCAAATTCAACACATCCTAAATTTAATTGATTTTCATCCCTTCTAAGCCTGTTTCTATTCCTATATTTTGTTTTAGTTGGTGGTCAGATCATCCAACTTGTCAGCCTGTCTCTTTTGTCTCCCTCACCCATTCATCTAATCAATGAACAAGTTTGGCCATTTTTTGTCTTCCAAATATTGCTGGAAGTATCTCTTCCTTTCTATCTCCACTACCATTGCCCTGGACTACTAAAATGACCTAATTAGTTTCACCTCCACGTTCCTTTTGAAATTCCTTCCTATTTGTCCTCCTCAGCCTCCAGAGAAGTCTGTTTGAAATGCCTATTTGGCCGTGCTACCTCTCAATCTAAAATCCCACAATATTTGCATATAACCTCTAAAGTTCAAACTCTTTAACGTGGAAAGAACTCTCCGCAATCTGCTCTTTGCCATTTTTTTTATAGCTGCATCTCTTCCCTTTCGTTTACCTCCCAGCAACAATAAAACATTTACAGTCCCTTGCATTAATCAGGCTATATTTTCCCTCCTGTGACTTTGTTAATGAGAGTTCCGCTGGTCGGAAGGCCAACGTCAGTTCAGCTGTCCACTCCTCCAAGCAGCCTTCCTGTTTGAGCTCCTTACTCCTTGCCATCCTTACGTTATTTCATCATGTTTGTCCATTTATGTTTCTGTATCTCCTGCCAGACAGTGAGATCTTAAATGGCAGGAATCATACCTTTTTTATCTTCATGTTTCCAGCACCCAGAACAACTCATGACACATAATAAATGTTCAATACGATTTCTACCAAATAAATAAAAATTTGCACTCATTATATTAACAAAAAGTGTATTGGAATAGCTTGAAGATGAATGAATCAATCTTCTTGGTCCATCAAAAGAATTTTTTCTCTTTGGGTCTTAATTATAATATCAATCATATTATTATTTGTTGAACTTTCAACTTCAATGAGTCTAGGCTCAGTAACCTATTATTTCCCAACCTCTAAGCCTACCATTGGCATTGATTAAATATTTTATTTAAATGTCAAATTTCCTTGGTACCATAAACAGACCAAGCAATGCAGGAACCAGTGGTTTTCACTGGTTAATCCATTTCCCTCTCTGTTGATGTCTTTCTGCCTCTCTGTCTCTGTATCTCTTTTTGCT